GGAAATCCTGAGAGAGTAGTGAGATACCACAAACTTAGATGAAGAAGTCTTATGAGAGTATTCAGATAACACAAACTAAGATGAGGAACTCATATGAGAGTATTCAGATACCACATACTAGAGTGTTCAAATCTAAACCAATCCAAATAAAAAACCGATTCAAAAAACCGAAAACCGCAAAAAGCCGAAATTTATTGGATGTGTTTGGATGTCATTTTGTGAAAACCGATTGATTCGGATCAGATTTCGGATCAATTTTTAAAACCGATCCAAATCAAACCAAACCGCATACATATATTTTTATACTTATTTACTTTTTATTAGTATGATATGTTACGTGAATTTATTATTAGATGATAATAATTTTTTTAATAGTAGTTATTAGCTTGGTATAATTTATTTATTTTTATTGTTTCAATCATAATCAACCACTCTCATTTTGTAATATTAACTTTTAATATACTATATGTTATATATTATATCAAATCTATGATTTATTAGTAGTTTTATAGTATTAATAAAAATATAATGTGTAATTTGGATATTCAGAGACCGATCCAAATTAAATCGCATAAAATTGGATCGGATCAGATTGAATTTTTTAATATATCATTCAAAACCGAACCGAACTGAACCGCGAGAAAATTTATCTTTGGATCAGATGATTTTTTTATCTTAAAACCGATCCAAACCGAACCGCGAACACCCCTACCACATACTAAGATGAGGAATTTCTGAGAATATCCCAATACCACTGACTAATATGAAGAACTTCTGAGAGAATTCAGATACCATAGACTAAGATGAGGAACTTCTATAGAGTATTAAGATACCATTGACTTAGATGAAGAACTCTTGTGAGAGTCTTCAAATACCACACACTAAGATGAGAAATTTCTATGAGAGTAATATTAATTATAGAATAAAATTAATTATAGAGCAGAGTTAGTTTTTAATTGTACTTTTTAACTTTCATATTAATCTTAATTTTTAAAATAAATCAATTAAATACTAAAGGATTAATTTTTAATCTTTATTACTGCAAAATTACTTTTATTTATGTTTTTTATATTTCAGAAAAGTTACTTTTAATTTATATTTTTTCATATTATTGTTACTACTGCTAATATTACTCAGCCTTTTTCATAAAATTAAGTTACACGAGTTATTTATTGGATCATACTTGAAAATTGAAAACATGGATACAGCGGGTTCTACTTGAAAATTGGAATGTTTTATCTTCCCTATAAATGAGTTGGAGTAACGTATGTGCCTCAACCAAACATTTAGGGTAAGACGTCACTGTTCCTTTTGATTCTCTTCTGTTTCAATCCATGCAGCCTTTACTTTGTATGCATGGTAAATAAGATAGACTGAGTTGTTCATAAAATTGTGTTTTGGCTGGTTTTTGAAAAGCATTGTGGGCATGTAACCATTGTTGTGTATGTATAACGCAGCTCCGACACAGGTGATGAAGATGACGAAGAAGAGGATGAGTATACTTGGTAAAAAGAAACTCTTCCTTTTGCTTCTCTTCTCTTTCGTTCCACATGTTGATGTTGCATGTAAGTTTAAAGTTAATGTTTTCCTGATTTTGCGATGTTACACTTCTCTGTTGTATAATGTTGCCAGTTCATCTTCACAATCTGAAGGCGAGAATGGATGGACCCAGGAACTGCTTGATTCACTTATGGATCATTTGAATGCACATGTAAAAGAAGAACCACGTGATGTTGATGAACCACATATAGACGAAGATCCACATCATGTTGATGGATCCACATGTAGAAGAGGAACCATTTGGTGTTGATGAACCACATGCAGAGGAAGAACCAGCTGGTGTTGATACTCCACATGCAGAAGAACAACCATATGGTGATGATGAACCACATGCACAGGAAGACCCAGCTGGTGTGGTTGAACCCACATGCTCTTTGATGACCCACTAAGGGAAGATGAGGAATTTTATTATAAATCAATTCTAGACCCCCTACTCAAAGGAATATTGATTTCCTACAAGGCTATTGATTTCCTTGTTAAACAGTTGATCCCTGGGTAACATGCATGTATGAAGTTGGTGGAAGTTTAAGCAAATAAGTTGGTAAGGTAAAAACTAGTGAAGGTTTGTTTTTAGAAAGTTTAATTAGAATCTTGTTTTTTCGATAAAAGCATAGGTAAAATTATTTTTAGGTTCGAAATAATCAATAAAATCTGATTAAACCTTCAAAGTAGCTTATTTCTTAATTATTTATGTCTTAAAATAAATCATGTTAAGTTACTCATTTTCGAAATTAATTATTTCCAATCAATAAAAAATGAGTTTGTTTCAGTATTTTAAGTTTAGGGGATACTAAAAGCATTAATTGGAGGTGTTAAGGAAGCAACAAAAGCCTAACAATCCAATCAGAAGCATCAAGAAGGCTTGGATGAGTAATTATAATTGATTAGCAAAAGTTGCTAACCGATAATTAATGTCTAAATCACACAAGTTTCAAATCAAATCTAAGACAGCCTGACACGCCTAGAAGATTCAATCTCAACATTAATGGAAATCTCATCAATAACCGAAATATTGAGAAATTTTATTCGTTTAAAAACAAAGTGACAATCGATTATAAAACCTAAATATGGCGAATTCATATACGATTTTTGGATAGCACAATCCTCATTTAATTATTGCTTCGAATACAAGCTCAAATCCATCAGAACACACACTATAAATATGTATTGTATTCTCACTTTCTCTTGCATCTCTCTATTATCTCCTTCTATAAATCATTCTTGTGTTAGTCTTTTGGCTATAAAGTTTATTATAAAGTTTATCGTGAAGTCCTAAAACCAGGAGGCCTAAAATACTCCAACAAAAGAGAGACATCATTCTAGCCTCCATAAGAGACAAGCGTGAAGAAGATATAAATATTATCCTAGAATAGAGAATCCTAGAAACTTGGCTCATGGAAGAAACCTTCATGATAGACTTCAAACCATACTCCTACATCTGTCGATCATCCTTAAGATAGTTCTATACAAAAACACTAGATAGAATATACCCAGATCTAGTGAGAGAATTCTACACCAACCTACTCATTGTAGAAAAAACCCTAATATCATCATTTAAGTGTGTGAAAATAGTGATTAAAAAAGAACGTTTTAGCGAAAAATCTCTTTAAAATGTCATTCCTAGACAGCCTCTTACAAACCAAACAAACCCACAGAACTCAAACTTCAAACGAAGTGTGAACCCTAAACTCTCTAGTAACAAATATCATGGAGGAAATAAAGCTTTTGTTTGGAACATACCTCCTAAAACCTAAAGTCAAAATCCTTCATTACCTGCCGAACAAAGATCTTGCTGCCCAAGAAATACAAACAATAACCACGTCATCAAAGATGACATTACTCCGCCTCTGGGTTTTGTCACAAAAATATATCAATAAACTGGATAGAAGGAGTGTTTTCTCACATGATCAAATCAAAAGACACTACGCCATATAAGGGAATAAACAATTTTTTTTTCCATAGACAATGCTTTAAAGCGGGCCGCCTATTCTTGCGCTGCTGTAAGTAAAGACAACGCTTTTTGTCAATGTAAAAGCGCTACTTAATGTAATCTTTAGGCAGCGCTTTATTCCATAAGCACTCTCTAAAGGCCCTTATAGGCAGCAGCTTTTTACATCATAAAGCTCTTTTTAATGCACCCCTTTAGACAGCGCTTTTAAAAGCGTTGTGTAATGTATATTTTTAGTTCACTTTTTTTCTGTTTTAGGCAGCGCTTTCTTTAAAAGAGCTCTCTAAAGTCCCTTTTAGGCAACGTTTTTTACTTTAGAAGCGCTTTCTAATGCACCCCTTTAGGCAGAACTTTCTTTAAAAGCGCGTTATATTCTCCACTATAGGCAGCACTTTTTTGTTTAAGAGCGGCTGTCTAATGTTTACAAAATTTTTAATTTATACAACTCATATTTTAAGCGGCTCTCTGCAAATAATCACTTAAAAATAAGCGATGTCTTTCAAATTTGTACCAGATTTCATAAATTTGCAGCTTCAATCTAATAAATATGCAGCCAAATTTACATATTGTATATATACAACTTTAATCCAATAATTTATACATAACTTTGATACAAATTAAATATATATATATATATATAGTATATAGTAGTATATATATATATATATGATATATATATATATATATATATATATAGTATATAGTATATATATAGTATATATATATATATATATATATATATATATATATATATATATATATAGTTAATATGTTAGTTTTTGGGTATATATATGCAAATGTACATATTACTATCTTCTAGAGCTGCTATCTTCTCTACAAACAACAATAATGAAGAGTCCTAAATAAACTTATTATCTTTATATCTTCTACGATATGCACCTACCTGAAACAAAAACCAACAATGGCATATCAGAACCAAGCTATATAACACTTAAATCTTATAACTATTATAATTTTACACAAACCAATGTAACAAAAACAAATCAAGAATCTGTTATAATCCACCATTGAAAATTTCCAAATTCATACCATGATACAAATAAAACTTTATTTGAATGTAGACTCCGAATACCGATCGATAATTAACGCTGTCCGACATAACAACAGACAACATTGCAACACAATTTACCACACTAATGACGATATAGTATCTCATCAAAACTTAAACTGGTATATATACTTAAAATTCTAATTAATGAAAGTGTCACAATACTTTATAAAATTTTCATCTCAATAATGTATTGACATCAATCCTCCTTAGTTTTGTCCAATTGATCTTTCGAGTAAGTAGACAGACTTGAGTTCATCAAAGTACTACATAATGTAACATAAAATGATTTAGTTAAAACTAATTAATTAGATGAAATGTGTTAAATATTAAAATAAATCATAAGTTAGAAACTGTATACCATGGTTGGAATCTCTATTTGATTCAAAAGAATAATTTCTTTCATAAAGCTCAACATGAAATAACCGTAATTTATACCATTACGTTGACGAGGATACTACACATGGAAAAAAATATGAACATTATATCAGGATATATAGTTTAACTTGATTTATCAAGTAGAATCACTAATATAAAATTAAAATTGAGAAAATATATTTGCACTCTGATCCATGTATTATTGTTTGATTTACTCCTTGGCTACTTGAGTATCTCTTTGTGATCGAAAAAATTTGTATAACTCTAACAAAATATAAACGAATATTTAGAAAAATCTCACATAAATAAATAAATATATAAACGGATATTTTGAACAATCTAACTTACGTATGAACTATCTTCTTCATATCTGGGTATTTTATTCAATCAGCCTTCTAACGGAGTCCAAATAAATATACAATTTCTCTGTATAGGAATAATCGCAACCAATAACCAGTATCCACTGTAGGATTAACAAAGATTAGATGGAAAATTTCTACACAATTTTCAAAACACGAAAAATCATAATAGATGAAGTTAGAATGAAAATCTAACCCATTGCCAGTATTAAATGGTAAAAAATATTTTTTTTGTATCTTTGTTGGCCATAAATGCATTGACAAAGTACTCTTTGACTTCATTTAGTATTTTATTGATTAATCGTGAGTTGATATTGTTGGGAGATAAGAAACAAGAATCTTTGTTCTAATTGATGCGGACACATCAAGTTGTCATACATGAACCTTAAATAAAAACATCATTAACATTAAGACTATTCATTGAAATGAGTAAAATAAATTGTTCAATTAATTAAATAAAGTTGATCGGAGTATACTTGATGTATGTAACCATAACACCGAGGCCTAATTCTGAATGTCCAAAAACTTGATCCATATCCTCTTTACTAATTGTTTCGTAATACGAAAAACCTAAAATACCTTCCTCCATAGGTATATTACGAGTACCTCCGTCAGCCAACCCTGATATTCCTACTAATGTCTGAAGTCACGACCTATATCGAGAATAGGCTTTTTTTTAGTCGCGGTCTTTGCAACATCTTTTTTTTGTATGGATATGTTGCTAATTTCAGGTTTCTTACTCCTACTGACTTGTTGCATATCTTTAGCATGAATCTAAAGATCAGATGCATATAAGTTAGGTGAAGTATAAGATCATGAATTAACATTTTTCTATGTATATATACTATACTTATATAGATATATATATATATATATATATATATTAATATACCTTTTTTCTTATGCAACTGACTTGGTTGTACCGCGTAATCCCCTGATCTTTTGATTTGAAATTTTGTAGCAGTCTAACGATTACCATGAAAAAAAGATGTACGTTAAAATGGTCATAAAAAAATTTGAATACTCAAAGGTTCATAATGGTTTTCAACATACCTCAACATCTATGCAAATGAGGTTTGACGACCATGCAACGTACGATCATATTGCCTTTCCCACCAATGTTGTATCTGAAATATCGTCAGGTATATGTAGTAGTGCATCCCTCTCTAAAGCAATATCAATAGGGTACTTTCAAAAGTCCAGCAGAGAGCGATTTATGATTTTAGTACTTCTCCCAAAGTATTATGCACTTTTCCCTTTCCAACCATACAATAAGTCGGGGTAACGATAAATAGAGGCTGGACAAGGTGAAATGCCCTAAACCAATAATAAATATGAAATTGTTAATGTGTATATATGTAAATTAAGAAAAAATTGTACTAGATTCATGAATTAATATATATATTACTTCGGGAATTTTCTGTTGGAAATCACAATTGATATTATCTTTGTCACTAGTACCCTTGAACCCTGAACCTTGCCTTTTTGAATGATGTCTATCGTTTATCCATTTCCAACTCACGAAATTTAGCTTTTAATTTTTATAACTCTTCCGATCACTTCTTTATTGCTATGACCTTTCCCCTTTTGATGGTTACCCAAAGATGTTTGAGTCACCCTAAATCCCTTACCCCT